CATTATATTTAATCAATTGTTCGGTCTGTTACGAGGAAAGTCTGTTCACTGCATCGTACCATATGGTTAAGCAAGTTCGATTCGCAGTGCAGTGCGTACAGTAACTGTTGAGTTCAATCTGTGAATGAAAATGGCCATATCTCAAGATTCTTAACAAAATGACCTTCCGAACGCCATAAATTCCCAAGTTGGCATCTACGCGGATGACACCACAATTCTAGTATCGCTGACAAAACTAACCTGGCCGTGCGTCTCGAAAAGGACCTCCAATCGGTTCTGAACTGGGGCAGGAATTGGCTGGTCAACTTTAATGTCTCAAAAACCAAACTGCTCTCTATTAATCACCACAGAGATCCTTCCCTGCCCTCCATTAGAATGTCTGACGCTCAACTTCTCGAGAGCAACTCTCTGCGGCTGCTCGGTCTCACGTTGACTGCTGAAATAAGATGGAACAAATAAATTGAGTCAATTGCCTCGTCCACCGCAAGGAAAGTTGGCTCCCTGTGCCGCGCCAGGACATTTTTCTCTCCGGAATCGATCCTCCAGATCTACAAATCCACAATTCGCCCTTGCATGGAGTATTGCTGCCATATATGGTCTGGAGCCCCTTCTGTTTGCCTCGGGGTTCTTGATAGGCTCCAGAGACGGATATGCAATATAATTGGCCCTGATCTGGCATCTCGTCTACAGTCACTCTCTCACAGACGCGCCGTCGCCTCTCTCTGTCTTTTTTACAAATACTTTCATGGCAATTGCTCCGAGGAGCTGCATTCGCTGGTTCCAAGACTTCATGAGTTCCAGCGCCCTACGAGGCTGGCATCCCGCTCTCACCCCTTCACTGTCGAGACTCCTAAATGTAGCCATCTCTTCTACTCTAATAGCTTCATGTTTCGCACCTCTCGCCTGTTGAACTCCCTTCCCTATTCCAGTTTCCCTGAGAGCTATAATCTCCAACTATTCAAATGTAATGTCAATCGACATCTCCAGTTGCCTTGATCTATCCACTATCCTTCTCCTCATCCTTTCCTCTATCACTTCTATCTGATCTTGCTCCAAATCTTCTATAACCCCTTGCGTCCTAGTGGCTTCCCGCCTTGCTAGGGGTAAAACGCTTAAAAAATAAAAGGATTCATTTTATACATTTATAAATCTACTATTCGCCCGTGCATTGAATATTGCTGCCATATTTTCCCTGGTGCCTGAACGATATAACTGGAGAATCTTGACAAAACAGGATCTTATATTGAATTAATTCCTTGACTACTGCTAGGAAAGTTGCTTCACTGCGTCGAGCCAGACATTTTTTTTTTCTCCTCGGAATCCATCTTACACACTTTTTTTTAATCATTTCGCCCAAACAAGGCGGGAAGACCGCTAATACTCAGGGTGTTACAGAGAGTGAAATTGTGAGAAAAGAGTGAGTATAGTGGGGATTGGTGAAAGAATAAAAGATGAACGGGGTTCAGGACAACAGAAAATATCGACTGACTTTGATTTAAATTGTTGAAGATTGTAGTTTTCAGTGAATCAAATAAACGGAAGGGAATTCCACTGTCTGGTAGTGCGAGAAAAGAAACTGTTGGAGTAGAAATGGCGGTTACATTTAACTATTTCAACAGTAAACGGATCTAGATGCCAATCTAGTAGAGCGCTTAAATTCGCTACAAAAAGCTGATCAGAGCAGTTGCCATTAAAATATTTGTAGAAAAGACAAAGAGAAGTCATATCACGTCTGTTAGAAAGTGACTGATGTCGAGATGCTAAGTCAGGATCTATTACATTGCAGATCATTTTTTTTGGATTTCGTCAAGAACCTCGAGATGAATAGCAAGGACACCAGATCAGATACGGCAACTGTATTCACTGCACGAGCGAATAGTAGAGTTATAAATGTGCAAAATGGACGAGAAAAAAACCTTCTGGCACGACACAATAAAACAACTTTCCTTGCACTAGATGCAGCTAATGATTCAATGTAGTTGTTCCACTTCAAGACATTTAAAAACATGAGGCCAAAAAGGTACATTGAGACACTCTACTGGAATCGAGCATCAGCCATCGTGATACTGGACAGGGAAGTTTCTTTATAATGGTTAAATGAAAGCATTTTAGTTTTGGGGGTATTAAAATTTACAAGCCATTTCCTGCCCCAGTTAACCATTGATTAGGGGCTCTTTTCAAGAGCAGCAGTCAAGTTAAGTTTCTCAGCTCTGAAGAATTTGCTATTGAGACAGGAGTAAATAATAGTATCATTTGCATAAATGTCTACCTGGGAACTGATGACATTAGGTTTGGTTTGGTTTGGTTTATTTTGTTTTACGGCATATCAACCTCTATGGGTTAATGTCGACAACATTTTTTATTGCTGGTAGTATTTTATTTTGTCAAAAATCTGTTTCTGGTAATATTTCCCTTCAAAATTGTATTGCTGATAATATTTTTTCAAAAAAGTATTGCTGGTAATAGTTAACTATTTGCCCATAGTTGGGACCCTAACAGGTGCTACCACCCCAGGTCAGAGTGGACCTGGGAACACCAGCAATTAAACCTCCTCAAAACCTCCTGATCAGAGGCCTTGCTGCTGGATATAGTTTATCGTCTTACCCAGGACGCAGATGTAGTTTATCGTCTTACCCAGCACGCGGATGTAGTTTAACGTCTTACCCAGGACGAGATGACATTAGGAAATTCCTTAATGAAGATCAGAAACAACGTAGGACCCAAGATAGAGCCTTGAAGGACACCTGGAGGACACCTGGAGGATCTGGGAACGAGCTCGTTCTAAACGATCTTCATTTCACGATTTGATAGGAATGATTAGATTAAATCAAACAATCGATCTGTAATACCGTAGCCCTGAAGATTACGTGGAAGAACAGAAATCTGCCATTTGCCCATGCATTGAATATTGCTGCCTTATCTGGTCTGGTGTTTCTACTATTTACCTCAAGATTCTCAACAAAATCTAAAGCAATATCTGTAATGTTATCAATCCTGGCCTGGCATCCCGACCTCAGTCACTTTCCCACCGCCGTGATATGGTCAGTCTCTGTCTTTTCTATAAATATTTTCAAGGCAATTATTCTAAGCTTCCCTCCTTGGTACCCCGACCTTATGAATTTAAGCGCACTATTAAACAGGCAAACATATTTCATTGTTTTACTGTTGAAATAGCGAAATATAACCGTAAGTTCTATTCTAATAGTTCCTTTTCTCTTACTTCTTGCCTGTGAAACTCTCTTACAGTTTCTTGCTTCCCTGGCACCCATGATCTTCAAAAATGTAAATACAACATCAATCTTAATCTTTCTACTTGAATCCTGTTCTTTTATTGTCCTTTCTCCTCACTAAAGTCTTCTCATTCTCTTTCCCTCCCAGTAAACCCTTGCGACTTAGTGGCTTTATCGCCATCTTCTGTCTTTCTGAAATCTGTTCTTTTATTGTCCTTTCTCCTCACTAAAGCCTTCTAATTCTCTTTCACTCTCAGTAACCCATTGGAACACCATGTAATGTAAGCAGCTTGTGGTCTTTTGTCCGACTAAACAAATTAAGAGACAGGCAGAGTGTCGAACCTGATCAGTAGTTTGTTGGGTGACTGCTTAGGAACACCCTGAACTGTAAGAAGCATGTGACCTTGTGCCAGACTAAACAAAGCTGAATAATTAAGAAGGGTCTGTAATGTTATTAATCCTGGTCTTGACTTCCTTCAGTTTCCCCTCTGTCTTTTCAACAAATATTTTCATGGCAGTTGTTCTAATGAGTTGTCCTTCTTAGTAACTCAACTGCATGAATTTAAGCGCACTACTTGATTGGCAAGTAGGTCTCATCTTTTTACTCTTGAAATAGCTAGATATAACTGTAAGTTCTATTCTAATAATTCCTTTTCTCGCACTTCTCATCTGTGGAACTCTCTTCTGCTTTGTTGCTTTTCTGCCACCCATGATCTTCTAAAATTTAAATGCAACGTCAATCTCAATCTTCTGTCTTCCTGGACACTGTTTGTTTAGCGTTCTTTCTCTTCACTAAAGTTTTCTCCTTCTCTCCCACGCCCAGTAGCACATTGCGTCTTAGTGGCATTATCGCCTTCCTTGGGAGAATTAAAAGAAATATGTGATTTTTTTTTCTTTTGAAAATGCAGGGGTGTTTAGACAGGTCAGTTAAAGAAAACGAATAGAAAAAACTAACGATCAATTTTGAGTACACACAATTGTTAGCGTTTTGATAAAGTCAAGCAAATACGGAACTTTTATAACTATTGTTCAAGGCCTGAGAGCCACTCCATGTAGAAATGAGATTTTTGTAAATCCTACAGAAGGATGCTGAGAATTTTTGGCGGGACATGTAAAAGGTCTATAGAAAATGGAGACAAAAACGACACTTGACCGCTGACTTCTCTCGGACAGATAATGGGGAAGGAAGGTTTAGTGTATTTGACCCTCACTGGGCATATTGAAAGGAAGAGAGTCAGAGAGACCATCGAGTAACCTAAAATATATCGAATAGGTGGCATACACGTCCTTAAGGGACATGGCACAACATAAAAGAAGAACCTGAATATTTTGACTACAGTGTTCACACACACAAAGACCCCTCGTTTTAATGATTTGACGTTGTCAATGTGAATTGCGATTTGAATTCTCAAAAACGTTCTTTGTGTTTGTGACTGACTGCTTGCCTGCAATAGTCAAGGAATCGTGTTTTTGAATAAGCATCCATTCATGTATGATGTGCATCGAAAAAATATTATTGCTTTTAATTAATTTCATGCATCGTTGGTTTGTTTTAGCTAGTGAACTAAATAATGCAAATTCTGCACATTGGAAATCGCGTGTCGATGATAATTTCTGGTGTAATTTCAAAATTACATCCTTCCATACCGCCAGAGGGCGAGGATGATGAGCTACAGTTTACGTTGAACAATAAAATCAAATGTCATGCAGGAATTTGTATGGAATTCATTTTGGATAAAAAAAAATTTTGCGATAAAATAACTTACGGAATCAACCTGGTATTGAAGGAAGTGAGAAGAAGAAAAATAGGAATAATAAACGGCTTAGAGGAGGGACAAAAGACAACAATAAAAGAAAGAAAGAAAGAAAGAATATGAGAAAGAAAGAAAATGTGAAAGAAAGAAAGAAAATGAGAAAGAAAGAAAGAAAATAAGAAAGATTGAAAATGATAAAGGAAAAGAAAGAAAGAAAGAAAGAAAGAAAGAAAGAAAGAAAGAAAGAAAGATAAAAAATGATAAAGGAAAAAGAAGAAAAAAGGAAGAAAAAGAAAGGAAGAAAGAAAGAAAGGAAAAAAGAAAGAAAGAAAGAAAATGATGAAGGAGAAAGAAAGATAGTGATAGAGAAAGATAAGCTATAGAGAAAAAAAGAAGAACGAAAACTAAGAATCCATTGAAAGAAGAAAAAAGAAAGAAATTGATGAAGAAAAAAGAAAATGGTTCGAAGAAGTGTGATCTTCACTAAGGCCCTTCCACTTGCTCAAAGCCATTTTAACCTATTGATTTTAGCAAGCGGTTATATACAGTTGACAGTTTAGATATTTCTGAACGGGTTTGGCGCCATGCATAATATCCACATCGATCTGACGAGGCTATTTAAGAACATGACTCGAGTTTTAAAGTAAATGTTTTCGATTTCGTAGTAACTTGCGGTGTTCTGTGAATCTACCTTAGAGCAGCCTATTCTATGTTCAACTTCCTCATCTTCTGTACTAAATCATACTTATTATAAAACCCAGGTTGTGTGTGTGTGTGTGTGTGTGTACGTTTATAAATTGGATCGGATTTCCTACATTTTTCAACCGATTTCAACAAAACTTCACAGGACTACGTAAAATTACCTTGCGGTGGTTCCGACAGCGTCAAAAATTGGAAAAACACAATTGCACGAAATCAATTTGAAAACACTATTAAGAGGCATCGCTGTCGCGAGAATGAAAGGGGAACAACTCATATCGAGTTATACTTATTATAAAACCCAGGTTGTGTGTGTGTGTGTGTGTGTGTGTGTGTGTGTGTGTGTATCTGTACGTTTATATATTGGATCGGATTTCCTACATTTTTCAACCGATTTCAACAAAACTTCACAGGACTACGTAAAATTACCTTGCGGTGGTTTTGACAGCGTCAAAAATTGGAAAAACACAATTGTTTTTGCACGAAATCAATTTGAAATCACGATTAAGAGGCATCGGTATCACGAGAATGAAAGGGGGACAACTCATATCGAGTTATACTAATAAAACCCAGGTTGTTTGTGTGTGTCTGTGTTCGTTTATATATGGGATCGGATTTCCTATATTTTTCAACCGATTTAAAAAAAACTTCACTTTTTTTGGCAGGTAGTGTTTCTTATTGTCTTGCACACTTTTTTCTTTATTTTTACATTCAGAATGCTTTAAAAATTCCATTTACAAGACAATTGTTTATAATAAAATTCTATTCAATCGGTAGACTCATAACGATTGAAAACAATGTTTTTCTTTGAGTTTGGGTTTGACCAATTCGTAAAAAAAAAAAAAAAACACTAATTAAGACATGCGTGTCCGTCAACCTTAAACAATAATCTTTGTCAATTTTATTTTTCAGTCTTTATGATGGTCGATACTTGATCTATTTCTTACTGTTACTTCCCCGGGCAACGCCGGGATCTACTGTTAGTTTGTTATAAACGATCCATATACCGATGTGTTTTTTTCTGTTTATAAATCCACATCTTGAATTTTTGTGATAGATCCAGGGTGCGGATCGTTATTGCTTTCATTACAATTCAAGATCAGTTTTATAATTTAAGGACATCATTCCATATCTGTCTATATCTCTGAGATGAGGTATTATGATTACTTATATTATTTACATTATTCGGACTGTTATCCTCATCTTCATTGCCATATTCACAACGTTTCGGCAGTTGTACGCAACGGCCTTCTTCAGGTGAGTGGAATTTCGAACCAAACCCTTTATTTCATCTACCGAGGTAGATTGATTATATGTCATTGATTATATGTAGAAGAAAGCGAGATAAAAGGACTAATCAGGAGGAAAGGCTCAAGATGTGAGTTATTAATTGGATGTGTAAACATTAAGCAGACGTAGAAGTTTAAATATCTGGGAAGCTTTTTAATGGAAGATGAAAAATGTGACACCGAGATCCGAACACACATTGAACTAACGAAAGACGCCTTCCAAAAGCTAAGCCTTAGAAACGGGAAATTTTCGTTAGAAACAAAGAAAAGAATGATGGATTGCTATGTTATATCCATCCTCTTATATGGCAGTGGATGCTGGACAATCTCCCCAAAGATGATGAAAAAACTAGAAGCAGCAGAAATGCGGTTCTACAGAAGGATACTGAGAATTCCATAGACAGAGCGAGTAAGCAACAAGGATGTCTTTAAAATAATGGCACTAGAAAGAACACTTATACTCCAAATTTTGACTCAGGAGTTCAAGCAGATGGGTTTAAAATAGTTCAGGAAGGCAGGACTTAAAAGGTTAAGCAAAAACATTTGACAAGACAAAGCGCAAGAATGTATTTGAAAAGACAAGAGAATTAGATCTGTTTGGAAAAGTTGTAAGAATAATCGAATATGCCTGTTACGGATAGAAAATAAATTGAGAATCTATACAAAAATAAAAAAGGGTTGTGAGACAAGGATGTGTCTTCTCGCCAGATTTATACAACCTCTACAGCGACAATATCCTAAGGGAACTAAAGACCCTGCCAGGATTTATTATCGGTGGACATAATCTTAACAATATAAGATACGCAGATGCCATTGTGTTGATGGCTGACTCAGGAAGGACACTACAGGACTTACTAGACAAGCTGGTAGAAGAAAGCGAGATAAAAGGACTAAACAAGAGGAAAAGCTCAAGATGTGAGTTATGAATTGGATGTGTAAACATTAAGCAGACGTAGAAGTTTAAATATCTGGGAAGCTTTTTAATGGAAAAATGTGACACCGAGATCCGAACACACATTGGACTAGCGAAAGACGCCTTCCAAAAGCTAAGCTGAGAAACAGGAAATTTTCGTTAGAAACAAAGAATGATGGATTGCTATGTAATATCCATCCACTTATATGGCAGTGAATGCTGGACAATCTCCCCACAGATGAAAAAAAACTAGAAGCAGCAGAAATGCGGTTTTACAGAAGAATAACTGTCTATATATCTCGAATTAGCTATTACGATTACTTGCATTATTTACATTATTCCTACTGTTATCCTCATCTTCATTAATATTTTCACAACGTTTCGGCCGTTGTACGATCCGGCTTTCTTCAGGTGATTTGAATTTTGAACCGAACCCTTTATTTCGCCCACCGGGGTATATTGTTCTAGTTCCACTTACCATGCCTATTCCGGATATCTCAGTTACTTCCCTTTAACTGAACTCTCCAAGGTTTTAGTTCACCACTGCTGTGACCTGGTACTGAACTCACAACCCTTTGGGTCTACTCACTGAATCTAACCAACGTCTTTATCCATTGGGCCATGTGTCCCCAAAACATTGGTTAGATCCAGTGACTAGACCCAAAGAGTTGTGGGTTCAATACCATGCCACAGCAGTGGTGAACCAAAAGAGTTGAGTTAAAGGGAAGTAAACGAGACATCCGGAAGAGTCATGGCACGTGGAACTAGAACAATGTACCCTGGTGAACGAAATAAAGGGTTCAATTCGAAATTCCAATCACCTAAAGAAGGCCGATGCGTACAACGGTCGAAACGTTGTGAATATAGCAATGGAGATGAGGATAACAGTCCGAATAATGTAAATAATGCAATTGATTATTATTCCAATTAAGTGAATTTAATATAGAAATTACACTGAAGAGAATGCTGCAGTATTCAGGGGATCTTCTACAACTTGTTCCCCATGAAAAATTATATTAATTTGATTACTAAGAGCAATTATAACGGCAATATGGAAGAACACTCTCAGTAACAATTTTCGCAAGAAACAAATTGCCTCTTTGCATCCAGATCCTAACCGATCTTTGGCTAATATCAGAATTAATTATAAAACAACATCGTTATTCCAAGGAGTGTTTCTAACAAGATTAGTTGTGACGCAATTTTGTTGAATTATTGAATAGGGTCATGCCCCATTCATCATTGACGTAGAGAGTAAGATTTGAGTTGATTTGTTTGTTTAACGGCATATCAACTCCTTATGGGTCATTTAATGCTGAAATTTAATTTTCTTGAGAGTTTTGAAGTAATAAAAATATATGCTATTCTGCTTTCACAATTGATTACATGGTAAATGATACTCAGCTTATGTGCATATACATGTTTGCTTGTTTTGGACATAATTACCAGAGGCAGTTGTTGTATTCATATTCAAATCTCCACCATATAATCAACAGTTGATACAGCTGGAGGCTAAACAAATTCTGACGTTAAAGACTAAACTATTCGAGAAATACTAGTGAATACTTCCAGCTAATTATATTTTATTTAATAATACTTCTCTAGTGATTTCGTCTTCAATGATAGGATTAGTTTAGCCTACAGCTGTATCAACTGCTATTTATATGGTGGGGATTTGCATATGAATATAACACTGTCCAAAACAATAAAGCATTTATATAGACATTTTTACACTTATATAGAATTAGATAGATAAACAGAATGACATAGATAGATAGATAGATAGATAGATAGATAGATAGATAGATAGATTAATTTAGGCTCCAGCTGTATCAGCTGCTATTTATATGGTGGGGATTTGCATATGAATATAACACTGTCCAAAACAACAAAGCACTTATATAAACAATTTTACACTTATATTGAATTAGAGAGATAAACAGAGTGACAGAGATAGATAGAGAGATAGATAGATAGATAGATAGATAGATAGATAGATAGATAGATAGATTAGTTTAGCCTCCAGCTGAATAAACTGCTATTTATATGGTGGGGATTTGCATATGAATACAGTAGCAATGATGTTTTATATTTTAGTCTTATTGAAGTCATATTTTGGACTGCAGTTGGATTTAAGAAATTACAGGATATTATATGAACTAATGTCATGAATACTTTCATGTCGATTGATGTATTGTTGGTAATTTTACTATAAATGCAAACCACCTGTGACCCGTTGGGTCAACCTTGCTATGTTTACATTTATTTTTTTTGAAGAGTTTGTGAAAGTAAAGATATTTTAAAAATACACTTATTTGCAGTTACTGAAGTTGCTTTCAACATTAAAAAAATTGCCTGTTTGAAAAAGGTTGAAGTTTAAGAGCTTGGAATATCAAAATTCGAAGTGTCGGGATTCGATACAATAACATAAAATATTGTTGCGGGTCTGCGCGTAATTCGACCTTTAGAAGAATCAAAGGATTTTCATTGAAAGAATAAAATTCAGTAGAAAAGACAACGTAGTTTCAACAAATGAACATTAATTTAATACAACGACAAGAATACAAGCAATTGGTCATAGACTGGAAAGTAATGTTTTTTTGTTTGGGTTAATAAAATTCTGAAATAAAATATAAATTCTCTTTGTGTACATATGTGAGAAATCAATGAAATGTTGTTATAAGTCAATGTGAGTGCGTGGTTCATAGTAAAGAGGATACAAGACATAAAACGTGTTTCTTACTGTGGACAGTGTTGCCGTAGTCTGAAGCGGTCTCTTTGAAGTTTGACAGCGATATCGATTTTTATATGAGGTCGTGAAATTCACAAGCGAGAGTGGCGTGGACCTTGGTGACAGCTGTGTGTATCCTGTTTGGGGCCCGATTTCGTGTATTTTATACACTTTCTCGTAAGAAAATCGTTTCCATCCCCAACTTTCTACACGATAATAAATTTGCGTCTTTCTTTTACCCACTCTCTCTATATGATTTCTGGCAAACACTCAAGATACAAAGTTCACAGAGTTATATATAGGAATAAAATGTAGTTTTGATACTTTTTTATCTAAAAATATGTTGCTGCTATTTTTATTTTAAAAATGTATTTTTATACTTTCATAGTATTTTGTTTTTGTATGGGGGGGTCACTATTTGCCCATAGCTGGGACCCTAACAGTTGCTACCACCTCGGGTCAGAGTGAACTTGGGAACAGCAATTAAGACGTGATTTCACACTCCTTAAAATCCCCAGTCCACCGATCAGAGGCCTTGCAACTTGATGAAGGATATCGTCATGTCCTGCACCAGTATTGAGTCAGAGAGGTTGTGATAAAAAGTAACTGAAATTCAAATAAAAAGAATACAGTCAAGAAATTCAGTGATAATTAAGATTAGCCTGGCACAAGGCCACAAAATGGAAGGATCTTCAAGACAAGCTTGTTAACCATATCTCTGAGGCAAGTGCATAAACCAGTGTTTCTCAGCTTATGTAAGCAACGGTACACCTAGGAACAAATGAAAATATCACGGTACACTTAGCAAAAATTTTAAGCGATATATGTTTAAATGTTTTGAAATGAAACCACAGATTTTTTTTAAAAATACACACACAAATATGAACTTACTTTATTTCAATGTTTCTATTCAATTATTTGTTTACCTATAGGCTCACGTATAACACTGATCAATGTTTAGCTATAGGCTCAAGTATAAATCTTTACCTATAGGCTCAATTATAACGACGACAAATATTTACCCATAGGCTCAAGCTTAACCCTGACCAATGTTTACCTCTAGGCTCAAGCATAACCCTGACCAATGTTTATCTCTAAGCTCAAGCATAACCCTGACCAATCTTTACCTCTAGGCTCAAGCATAACCCTGACCAATGTTTATCTCTAAGCTCAAGCATAACCCTGACCAATCTTTACCTCTAGGCTCAAGCATAACCCTGACCAATGTTTATCTCTCGGCTCAACCATAACCCTGACCAATGTTTATCTCTAGGCTCAAGCATAAACCCGACCAACGTTTACCTACAGGATTAAGCATAATGCCAACCAATGTTTGCATATAAGTTCAGGTATAAACTTGACCAATATCTACCTATAGATGTGAGTATAACCCTCGAAAAATACTTATCTATAGTCTCAATGAAAGGTGACGTGAGATTATCAAAAGCCAGAGAAAATACTTTTATGACTGAATAATAATGCTTGGTTTGATTTGTTATGTTTTTTTTACGGTATATCAACCCCAATGGGTTATTTAATGCCGACAAAATTTTCATCGTTGGTAATCTATTTCTGGTCATAATTTTTTTTTTCAAAATTGTCTTGCTATAATATTTTTTTTTAAATCTATTGCTGGTAATATTTTTTTGAGATTATCAAAAGCCAGAGAAAATACTTTTATGACTGAATAATGATGCTTGATTTGATTTGTTATGTTTTGTTTTACGGTATATCAACCCCAATGGGTTATTTAATGCCGACAAAATTTTAAATCTATTGCTGGTAATATTTTTTCCTAAAAACTGTATAGCTGGTAATAGTTTTTTTTCTTCAAAATTTTATTGCTGGAAATATTTTTTTTACAAGTATTAAAACCTGTTTTTACGCTATTTGCCCATAGCTGGGACCCTAACAGGTGCTACCAGCCCGGGTGAAGGTGGACCTGGGAACACCAGCAATTAAGAGGTGGTTCCACGCTCCTGAAAACCTGACCAGAGGCCTTGCTGTTGGACGTAGTTTATCGTCATACCCAGGACGAATAATGCTAGGATTTGAAATGAATAAATTATTTTCTCATATAAATGACAAAACTGTTGGTCTCAACCTAATATACTGGAATCTTACTTATTATAAAACGCAGATTGTGTGTGTGTGTGTGTGTGTGTGTGTGTGTGTGTGTGTGTGTGTGTGTGTGTGTGTGTGTGTGTGTATACGTTTATATATTGGATCGGATTTCCTACATTTTTCAACTGATTTCAACAAAACTTCACAGGACTACATAAAATACCTTGCGGTGGCTCTGACAGCACCAAAAATTGGAAAAACAATTCATTTTGCACGAAATCAATTTGAAAACACGATAAAACACGATTCTGTTACCAGAATGAAAGGGAGACAACTCATATCGAGTTATACTTATTTTAAAACCCAGGTTGCTTGTGTGTGTGTGTGTGTGTGTGTGTGTGTGTGTGTGTGTTCGTTTATATTTGGGATCAAATTTCCTATATTTTTCAACTGATTTCAATAAAACTTCATTTTTTTTTTTTTTTGGCAGGTAGTGTTTCTTATTGTCTTGCACACTTTTTTTTTTATTTTTACATTCAGAATGCTTTAAAAATTCCATTTACAAGACAATTGTTTATAATAAAATTCTATTCAATCGGTAGACTCATAACGATTGAAAACAATGTTTTGGTTTGAGTTTGGGTTTGACCAATTCGTAAAAAAAAAACTAATTAAGACAACCTTAAACAATAATCTTTGTCAATTTTATTTTTCAGTCTTTATTATGGTCGATACTTGATCTATCTCTTATGTTACATCCCCGGGCAACGCCGGGCTCTACAGCTAATATACAATATAACTGAAAATATCACGGTACACTTAGCAAAAATTTTAAGCGATATATGTTTAAATGTTTTGAAATGAAACCACGGATTTTTAAAAAAAAAAATACACACACATGGGGTTACGAAAATCCAGAAAAATTAATTTGATGACTGAATAATGATGCTATGAAATTATATTGATGAAGGACTTTGCTTAAAAAAACGCGAGAAATTTTTGCAGCACGTTAATAAATAATTGAAGTAAAGACTTAGTATAAGTTCTTAGAAAATCATGGAAGTGAGTTTGCTGACTGAATAATGATGCTATGAACGTCTTTGATAAAAGATTTTGGTAACAAGAACTGGAAACTTTTATACAACTTGGAAGCAATTCTTTTGTACTGACATTTTGCACTCTCATTGCCATTATTTCTAATTCTCCGTTGATATTTTTTTAACAAAATCCGTCGCATTTCTTTGTCTCTACTAACAATGTTTTCCTTTGAATAATTTGTATTCTTACATTCTTTGCAATTTTCTTTTCTTTACCATTTCTGTGTTGCCTTTCAGAGAATTGTCCTTGCTGATGAGTCTTCGCGCTTTTGCTATCAATTCATTTCTTATTTTTATTTCTTCATTTTTATTTTAATTCTGGATTTACTTTCTCAGTTTCTCATTTTTTTTATGCAGTTCTCACGGCGCAGACTAAAATGGCAAAAGAATTAGATAGGTATAAACAGAGCGAGATAGATAGATAAATAGATAGATAGATATGAATAAGCCAAAATAGATAGATAGATAGATAGATAGATAGATAGATAGATAGATAGATAGATAGATAGATAGATAGACATGAATAAGTCAAAATAGATAGATAGATAGATATGAATAAGCCGAAATAGATAGATAGATAGATAGATAGATAGATAGATAGATAGATAGATAGATAGATAGATCTATTCAGAGAGGAATGAAAAGAGATGAACATAATACATAAATATATAGAGGAGAAATATATAAACAGAGTTAGATATGAGCAGACCAAAAATATATATATATATATATATATATATATATATATATATATATATATATATATATATATATATAAATATATATATATATATCGCTATCTCAGGTCTATTCAAATCTATCTATCTATCTATCTATCTCGGACTTATTCGTATCTATCTATCTCAGTTTATTCATCTCTCTCTCTCTCTCTCTCTCTCTCTCTCTCTATATATATATATATATATATATATATTGGATCTCTCTCTCTCTATCTATATATATATATATATATGAGTTCTCATGTTTAGCGATGGAATCAGATTTTTAAATAAACAATTATATTTACTCGACTTTTGTATGGAGTACTATTTTTTTTAAATAATAATAAAAATACTAAAGAACTTTGGATTATTTACCTAACGAGTTCTTTCCTATTTTCTATATATTTTTACACACACACACATATATATATATATATATATATATATATATATATATATATATAGAGAGAGAGAGAGAGAGAGAGAGAGAGAGAGATGAATAAATGAATAAGATAGAAGATAGATAGATAGATAGATAGATAGATAGATAGATAGATAGATAATTTGAATAGACCGAGATAGCGATGATGGTTCTGGAATATGAATAATTTCAAGGGCAGTATAAACAATGGCAGCTGTTGCAAAAAAAAAAAAAAAAAAAAAAAAAAAAAGAAAAAAACACACACGTTGATAAGGACAGCTGGAAAGACAGTAACATCTGGAAAGGCAAGAACATCTGGAACATCTGACTGAAATCAAAGATCAGACAGTTGCGGGCATTCACAATCTTTCTATTCGTCCGAGATAGATATTAACAGCAGAACTCTGGCGAAGAATCCAAGACTTAGAAATGAGATGCTACGGAATCATTCTCTGGCTTCTCCTACGTAGACAGCATCACAATTGATGCAGTGTAAGTCAATCTTAAACAAAAAAAAAAAAAAAAAAAACAGGATCATTGGAACACCTCATAACCATCCTACAAGGCACCACCTTAGATGCACGGACACTGTTAATTAGGTGACAGGGAAGATAATTAAGAGAGACTTGGATAATCACATGAGATATATGGAGGGAAAATGGTCAGGTGTTCCGATAGCGCAATGACATTAGAACAACATCCGGTCATAGGACTGGTGTTGATGTTGATGATTATGATTATGATGATGATACAGAAATCAATTTGCAATGCATTTATCTATAAAATAATTTGTAATGATATTCTGATGAATGCTTTCAGTATTTGGTCTGTCACTATACACAAATTCACTGGAGTGAATAAAAACATTAATGTATTCATTTCATAAAGGAGTGTCATGGATTTCGGCCAGAAATTGATTAGCATTAAAACGCTAGTTGTCATCGTAAAGTCTATCATAATAGTTTCTTACAACTTCGAACTGCAAAACTTTAACACAATACCGATCAACATCTCGCTTCATAAACTTTGATCTTTTATTGTTTCCACTGTTTTTTCGCTTTCTCTCTCGGTAATAACTTGCGTCCCGTGTTTACAGGAGTGGGCTAAAAAGTTCATAGTCTGACTATGAAGGGGTGATGCTAGATCTGTGAAATCTTTCATGCATTCATTTCAACTCTTCTTATTAATAAGTGCATTGCTTCATTCTAGATATGAGGGAAGGCTGAAAAGTTCATAGTCTGACTATGAAAAGGTGATGCTAGATCTGTGAAAACTTTCATGCATTCATTTCAACTCTTCTTATTAATAAGTGCATTGCTTCATTCTAGATATGAGGGAAGGCTGAAAAGTTCATAGTCTGATTATGAAAAGGTGATGCTAGATCTGTGAAATCTTTCATGCATTCATTTCAACTCTTCTTATTAATAACTGCATTGTTTCTTTCCAGATATGAGGGAGGGCTGAAAAGTTCATAGTCTGACTATGAAGGGGTGATGCTAGATCTGTGAAAACTTTCATGCATTCATTTCAACTCTTCTTATTAATAACTGCATTGTTTCATTCCAGATATGAGGGAGGGCTGAAAAGTTCATTGTCTGACTATGAAGGGGTCATGCTAGATTCGTGAAATCTTGCATGCATTCATTTCAACTCTTCTTATTAATAACTGCATTGTTTCTTTTCAGATATGAGGGAGGGCTGAAAAGTTCATAGTCTGATTATGAAAAGGTGATGCTAGATCTGTGAAATCTTTCATGCATTCATTTCAACTCTTCTTATTAATAACTGCATTGTTTATTTCCAGATATGAGGGAGGGCTGAAAAGTTCATAGTCCGACGATGAAGGGATGATGCTAGATCTGTGAAATCTTGCATGCATTCATTTCAACTCTTCTTATTACTAACTGCATTGTTTCTTTTTCCAGATATGAGGAGGGCTGAAAAGTTCATAGTCTGACTATGAAGGGGTGATGCTAGATCTGTGAAATCTTTCATGCATTCATTTCAACTCTTCTTATTAATAACTGCATTGTTTCATTCCAGATATGAGGGAGGGCTGAAAAGTTCATAGTCTGACTATGAAAAGGTGATGCTAGATCTGTGAAATCTTTCATGCATTCATTTCAACTCTTCTTATTAATAACTGCATTGTTTCTTTCCAGATATGAGGGAGGGCTGAAAAGTTCTTAGTCTGACTATGAAGGGGTCATGCTAGATTCGTAAAATCTTGCATGCATTCATTTCAACTCTTCTTATTAATAATTGCATTGTTTCATTCCAGATATGAGGGAGGGCTGAAAAGTTCATAGTCTGACTATGAAGGGGTGATGCTAGATCTGTGAAATCGTTCATGCATTCATTTCAACTCTTCTTATTAATAACTGCATTGTTTCATTCCAGATATGAGGGAGGGCTGAAAAGTTCATAGTCTGACTATGAAGGGGTGATGCTAGATCTGTGAAATCTTTCATGCATTCATTTCAACTCTTCTTAATTATAACTGCATTGTTTCATTCCAGATATGAGGGAGGGCTGAAAGGTTCATAGTCTGACTATGAAGGGGTCATGCTAGATCTGTGAAATCTTGCATGCATTCATTTCAACTCTTCTTATTAATAACTGCATTGTTTATTTCCAGATATGAGGGAGGGCTGAAAAGTTCATAGTCCGACGATGAAGGGATGATGCTAGATCTGTGAAATCTTGCATGCATTCATTTCAACTCTTCTTATTACTAACTGCATTGTTTCTTTCCAGATATGAGGGAGGGCTGAAAAGTTCATAGTCTGACTATGAAGGGGTGATGCTAGATCTGTGAAATCGTTCATGCATTCATTTCAACTCTTCTTATTAATAACTGCATTGTTTCATTCCAGATATGAGGGAGGGCTGAAAAGTTCATAGTCTGACTATGAAGGGGTGATGCTAGATCTGTGAAATCTTTCATGCATTCATTTCAACTCTTCTTAATTATAACTGCATTGTTTCATTCCAGATATGAGGGAGGGCTGAAAGGTTCATAGTCTGACTATGAAGGGGTCATGCTAGATCTGTGAAATCTTGCATGCATTCATTTCAACTCTTCTTATTAATAACTGCATTGTTTCTTTCCAGATATGAGGGAGGGCTGAAAAGTTCATAGGCTGACTATGAAGGGGTCATGCTAGATTCGTGAAATCTTTCATGCATTCATTTCAACTCTTCTTATTAATAACTGCATTGTTTCTTTCCAGATATGAGGGAGGGCTGAAAAGTTCATAGTCTGACTATGAAGGGGTGATGCTAGATCTGTGAAATCTTGCACGCAATCATTTCAAATCTTGGTATTAATAACTGCATTGTTTCATTCCAGATATGAGGGAGGGCTGAAAAGTTCATAGTCTGACTATGAAGGGGTGATGCTTGATCTGTGAAATCTTGCATGCATTCATTTCAACTCTTCATATTAATAACTGCATTGTTTCTTTTCAGATATGAGGGAGGGCTGAAAAGTCCATAGTCTGACTATGAAGAGATGATGCTAGATCTGTGAAATATTGCATGCATTCATTTTAACTCTTCTTATTAATAACTGCATTGTTTCTTTCCAGATATGAGGAAGGGCTGGAAAGTTCGTAGGCTGACTATGAAGGAGTATTGCTAGATGAAATGTTGCATGCATTCATTTCACTTCTTCTTCTTAATAATTCAGGATGTAGGCGATCATGGCCCTCCATATCTTTCTGTCCCTTGTAGCTCTTGATAAATTTTCTTTTTCTCCCAAAACCCAATATCTACCATCGATTCCCTTAAGTTTATCAAGAATGTTACGCTCTGCTTCTCTGTCCCTCTTTCTCTCAAATTGTCCTGTGATTATCAGATTTTCCAAGCCTCCTTCCTCATTACGTGCCTCAGAAAATTCAACTGCCTGTTCCTAATGTTAAATAAAATTCTCCTTTTGTATCCATTTCTCTAAAACCTCGTCGTTCCTCACATGTTCATTCCATGGTATCCTCAGCATCTTATTGTAGAACAACATTTCTGTTGATTTAAGCCTCTTGTTTATCTTTGAGGAGATTATCCCGCATTGGCTGTCATACAGGAGAATAGATATTACGTAACAATTAAATACTCTTTTAATGACAGAACTAAGACTGAACTGATTCGTAGTATTAGTGGCAAATAATTGTGAGTTCAAACCCTGGTCCAGGTAATATAGATCTATTCTTATTTAAAACAGAAATAACAACTAAGTAATAAAAAGATCTCTATCTATAAAAGGCAGGATGTGTGTGTGTGTGTGTGTGTGTGTGTGTGTGTGTGTGTGTGTGTAACGAATGCACGGCCGCAATTTTCGACGGATTTGCACCAAAATTTACATGCACATGCTCCAAGTTAGCGGCAAGGCCAAGACTGACCTTGCATTTCCCATTTCCCATTCTAGTGGAAATAATCGATTTTTTCATGCTTCTACGGCAGTTTTCATGTAGTTTGCGGCCCTTTGTACTGACCAGAGTGAGAGCCAATAGCTGGCTGCCACGAATAGGCAGGAAGATTCTATTGGCCAGCGTGAGAGCCAACAGCTGACTGACACGAATGTTAACAAATCGATAGCTGCATTCATCACAAGTGGGAAAAATTAAAATCTGCATGGCACTTTACTCCACTTGGCTCATTCGCTTGCTTAAACTCAACGTTGATTCTAATTCCGCAGAACTGGGTTGGGTGTGAAAAAGTATTTGTTGTAAACATTCTTTTTTCATTCGGTTTTTCCAGTTACGAGTCCTTTTTTAAAGCTGATCGTTTTGTGTTCATTTTGTTTAGTTCTTTTTTCGTAACAGATTTAATGTTTAGTATAGAGCTTAGGAAAAATCGCAGTGTGAGATAGGCAAGAAGTAAGGCATGTAGCAACATCAGCACGGCAAAGGACACTCCTTTAAAGGCAAGGAAGGGCAAAAATATTTTAAGTCAAGTGATAGCGATTGCTGTATGAGCCGTACGATTTTTGAATCAAGCCCGGGCAACACCGTGCCATGCTGCTAGTGAGATATATATGGACAACGGAATAAGAATAATTTACACCGTAGATTAAATAAAGTGTTCAGTTCTAAAAACTCATTAACAGACCTAAAGAAGGCCGTTGTGTTTATATTCTTCTTTTGTTTCCTGGTGAACCTGCAACTTGTCTTTCCCAGTGTTTCGTGCATACTGGCGTGAACAAGAATGGAAACATATGATGGGGTATTTATTAATCAGTCAGTGGAAAACTGGTTGAGAATCCCATTGTATGTTTACACCTCCATCCCCTTGTATGTTTACACCTCTATTCCTTTGTATGTTTACACCTCCATCACTTTGTATGTTTACACCTCCATCACCTTGTATGTTTACATCTCCATCCCCTTGTATGTTTACACCTCTATCCCCTTGTATGTTTACACCTCCATCACCTTGTAGGTTTACACCTCCATCACCTTGTATGTTTACACATCCATCCTCTGGTATGTTTACACCTCCATCCCCTTGTATGTTTACACCTCCATCCCTTTGTATGTTTACACCTCAATCACCTTGTATGTTTACACCTCCATCCTTTTGTATGTTTACACCTCCATCCTTTTGTATGTTTACACCTCCATCACTTTGTATGTTTACACCTCCATCCTTTTGTATGTTTACAACTACATCACCTTGTATGTTTACACCTCCATCCTTTTGTATGTTTACAACTACATCACCTTGTATGTTTACACCTCCATCCCCTTGTATGTTTACACCTCCACGATAGTTAGGCCAATTTTCGCCACATTATTCTGGTTCGCTTGGGGATACCAGCTTTTATAAGCTTAGATGTGCGGCAGTTGGAAAACTGCTCGCAAATGGCAGGGCCAAGTTTCATTGCCAGTCGGTGTCTTTATCTTCACTTACGCTTAAACACTTCTTCTCCTCAGCTATGGATTAATAGTAGGATTTTATCTAATTTTTATTTTTTATTTTTGCAATTTGGATCTTGCAAGAACACTAGCATTTTTACAATCCCCAGAAATATTTTCTGGCTTCAAATAACCTGCAAAAGGTTGATAAACCGTCAAGAACAAATCAATCAATCAATCACTATTCTTGGCTCTAGATTCCTTATATTTATTGTTGGTATTCAAGAAACGCATTTAATATAATTGCAATAGAGTTATTAAAGCGAACACAGGGTACTATTGAAAATAATAAATATCTAATAAGCATCTGAGTAGATGAAGCGTTTATTCTGCCTGTGAATGACTCTGTTTTGCTTGAATGCACAGAGGCATATCGACACCGTTGGCGTCGTTCGATGAGTTCTGTTCTATTTGGAAATCGGAGATCCAAGTTCAGATTCCAGTTAAGTCCGTTATATTCATTACGTCGAAATACACTAGGGAAAAGTATGAATCCCCCTCCTCTCCCCCAACTACAGGTTAATAATTAATGCTAATGGAAGGCAGAGAGAAGTTTCTCAGATGATTAATAGAGAGGTTTAGTTTTGGAAGCGTTAAAATTGACAAGCCATTTCTTGCCTCAGTTAACGATGGTCTTGGGGTCGTTTTGTACATCATCTGCCATTTTGACCTTGACGGACTGATCAGCCTTAGTATCAAGGCAGGAGTAAATGCTAGTGTCAATGCCAAGTTGATTCCTGATGTCATCAGGAAGCTCGTTAATGAAGATTAATAAACAGCGTACGACCAAGACTGGAGCCCTGGGTGGGGACGCCCGCGATGGTACGAAATGATATAGACTAATGGTCGTTCAGGAAAACTTCATTTCAAGATTTGATAGGAAAGACTGGCTCAGCTAAAAAAAAAAAAATGTGCCCATTGACTCCGTAACGATTGTGGAGAAGATCTGAGCACCAGACCCTGTCAAAGGCTTTCGAGATGTTCAAAGCTACGGCGCAGGCTTCACTGTTTTTTATCTAGAGCATGATAGAATCTTTCCGCAATTATCGTTAGTACAGCAGTTGACCCGGAGAAACGAAAACCGCATTGGTTGTTTGAGAACGGGCCCTTCGATGAGAGTTGATTAACCAATTTATCATTGATTAGTGCCTCTAGAAGTTTCCAAAAAAAAGGGGTAGAAGTCCGATAGTTTGATGAGCAGGACGGTTCACCAGAGTTCTTAAAAACTGGAACAACAGACGATAGCTTCCAGCAGACAGGAAACCAGGAGGCAATGAGGCATTTATTATAAAGTTTAGAGAGAACAGGAGCCAGTTTAATGACTATTACAGCGATGCCATCGAGTTCACGTGCTTTGTGGGCATCAAGGTTAGAGATGATAGCAGAGACAACGGAAGGGGTTATATGCATATCACTCAGCAGAAAATCAGTTTTAAGTCGGAAGTTAGGCAGGGACACTCCAAATGAAACAAGAGCAGTAGGAGAAATCACGGGCAAATTCAGCTTTATCAGCAGATGATGATAGCACCACAAATCAATTAAAGAGGGGTAAATATAGACCTTGTACTTATTAAGTACCCTATTACAAAGTCGCCATTGATCCAGAGTTTTTAGAGGCAATGCTGTTTTCCATTCTCTCAGCAAACAGTGATTTAGCTACTTCGAGGAATCGCTTACATTTTTTATGAGCAGTAGAATATAGGATCCTGTTATGACGAGAGCTGTCACGCTGGTATATCTGGAAATAGTGGTTCCCGCGGTCGAGCATGCTGGTGTGAACCACAAGAGGGTTGTGATTTCACTTGGTATTTCTGAGAAGGGATGAAAGCTACCATGCCGATTTTGAGCCAAGAAGAAACCTCAGTGGCGAAGGTTGAAGATATCAGTCCAAGGGACGTCACGAAGAAAATACTGGAATGAGTTCCAACCAGCCTGCTGGTAACGGAAAGGTGGTCTTATAGATAAGGGGTTCCTCTTCAATGAGTGCTTGGCAAGAGATATCAATAGCGACCACGGAATGGTCCGAGTTACCAACAGGGCAGTATTGCAAAGCTTAGCAGCAGAGAGGACAGAAGATAAGAAATAGATCCAGTAGAGAAGCCTGTTACTCGGTTTATCTCGGAAAGCGAGTTGGGAAGTCCACGATATATATACCAGGTATAACAGCAAAATTGTCCAAGTCCTGTAACAGCATAATTGTCCATCCCCTTCACAAAAAAACATCTAAAAAAAACACTAAACTAATTCAGTTTTTTCCAGTGTTTCAGCTAAGACATTTAGACATCTTGACACCGTTAGTTATAAGAATCACTAAAATATCTTTTGAGTTATTCACCTCGAAAGAGTACAGGTTAAAGTCGTTTTGTGCCAGCCCAAATGTCTTTTTAACTGAGCAATGGTGAGAGGAAAAAGATCATTCAGGCCCTCATTAATAGTGCCAACATTCATACTTTGATTTCTATCTTCAAAGTCCATTCAAGAACCATCAAGAGAATGATAAGTTTATAAAAAGAGGGAACAGTAGAGAGGAAAACTGGATTAGGAAGTCACAGCAGGAAGAGGGATCATCCTTTTAACTGAGAGCTAAAGAGATCAATTATAAAAGATCCAACTCAATCTTGAAGACGTTTAACACGTGAGAGAGGAGTTTCAGCTATGACAGTGCAAAGAGCAGTGAAAAAGGACATGAAAATGAAATGGTACGTGAAACGTGAGAGGCACCTTGTTACTCTAGGACAGAAATTAGAAGGTTAGAGAGGGCGAAGATATTCTTGAATAAGTTGGAAAATAACCCTTGAAATAATATATATATATATATATATATATATATATATATATATATATATAATTTTAAGATGTAGTATATTTATGGGATAAAGTGCTCAATATCAGAGATAGTGCGTATGTAAATATAAAAGTAAACATTGAAGTGAACACTTAGAGGCGACAGTCTGTTTCATACTAGATGCAATCGTCAGGCAACGATTTCATCAAGCATGAAACAGACTGTCTATAAGTGACTTGACTTCTTTTATATATATATATATATATATATATATATATATATATATATATATATATATATATATATTTGAACTCTATTTCAATCCTTCATGAGCTTCGATCATTAGCAATGATTAATTAATGATGAACATGTCATTTTCCTTTATGATCGATTTCATTACGATACTTCTGTTAAGCTTGGGGAGTAATTATACATTCTTACTGCTCAGAGTAGAGTTCAGTAGTGTTATAATGAGCTCGGATAATTCCTGTAAGATATATTTAATCATTTCTAAGATACAACGGCTCAAAGCTTAATCTAACAACTGGACAATTTTGTTGTTACACCCGGTATATATGCTACACTTTGTTTTCACTTGTAAAATCATTATTTCCCCAAATAACGTTAATGCAATATTGTTTCACAATATTTTTTTCTTTCAGTCCCATATATGATTAAGTTTCAGATAAACCCTCCCAAAGCCATTATCCTTGTCTATAGATTCTTCATATCTTAGCTAATGTGTATGTTTTAAACTTTCAGGAAAAAAGAACCTTCTGTTGATGTTCGGGTAACGCCTTTGATATAAATTGCAATGGAGTCGTTGAATCGAACACAGGTTGCTATTGAAAGCAATAATAATCTAATAAGGATATGAGTAGTTGAAATATTTATGTCTCCCGATGAACAACACAGCCTTGCCTGAATGCACAGACACACATCGACACTGTTGGGGTCGTTCGATGAGTTCCGTTTTTTTTTTGTTTCCGCAACAATGTTAATACCGTTGACATTGTTTATCATATATTTTATATATATAGATTATGAAATGGACAAAGTCCGGCAATTATTTTGAGCCAAATCCTGGCCAAATCGGTAAAGGCACGTCAAGCTAAATGACGGTTCCGTATAGGATACAGGTTCGAATCCTGTCGGAGGACGAATATTTTCTGTGAAAATTTCTCGGACATTCAGGCCGGTAAATGTTGTTTAATACTGTTTATTATAAACAGAGCATTTACTTAAATATTTGTATCTATAAAAAGAATGTATAAACAAAAAATGTCTTAAAATATATATATACATATATATCTATATATACCCAGACACACATATATATATCCACACATATAGATACACACAGATATATATACATACACATATATATATACACCCACGAACACACACACATATATATATATATACAATGTAACCCGGATATAAGAGGCCCGGATATAAGAGAAACCCGGATATAAGAGAGATTTTCTCGGGTCCCAAATTAGAGCCTGTGTTAATGTATATATAATAGACCAAACCCGGATATAAGAGAAACCCGGATATAAGAGACTTCTTCTCCGGTCCCGACAATTCTCTTATATCCGGGTTACACTGTATATATATATATATATATACTCGTGTAACGCGCTATCTCGCGTATCGTGCGACCCCCAAATTTTCACTTATAAAAAATGATTTTCTCATGTATCATGCGAGTTCCTTTTTTGAGAGACCAAATTATAAAAGACTAATATCTTTTCCTCTATCTCTTTATCACACCTTCTATTTAAATAGTTAAAAATGTAAAAGAGAATGATAAAAGTATCGTTAGTAACACTATACTCGTTGCGTAAACTCGTACAGCCATAAACAATCGAACGAGAAACATCTAAACATCCTATAAACGTAAACAATAAAAAAGATACATTATTTACATTATTCGGACTAATGTTCTCATCTTTGTCGCCATATTTATTAAAATGTTTCGGCCGATGAAATTCATACCCAAATGTCTTCAAGGACACATGGCACAGTGGATAAAGGTGTTGGTTAGATCCAGTGACAGGACCCAAA